TTTTACTTCACACTAATGTTAATTGTCAATTGAAAAAGTTAAAAAATTACAGTTTTCAAGCATTCAATGCAGTTATTTATGTTTGCATTGTACATTTACAGCATATTGTAATATATGTAAACTACATTCTTCTGAATGTTTGTGTTAATTATTGTTGAAATAAAGTAGGTCTTGTAGTACTCTGCAAATGTATAACTAAGTGGATATTAAACGTGTTACTTTGGAAAAACTTCAAGCATGTTAATTTTATTTTACACATACACACACACACACGTGTATATATATATATATATATATATATATATATATATATATATATATATATATACTTAAGAATAACTTTAAGCTATTTTAAATATGTCGTAACATACTTAGTTGTGTTAAAATGGACATACTTTAAGTACAATTAAAGTGTACTTTTAAAGGTGTATTTTATTTAAAGTACTTTTAAATCATATCTTTAAAATACAGTTATAGAATATTTTTAACCCTGTTCAAATATTATTTTAAGTTCAGATAAAGTGTATTTTAAAACCAATTAAAGTATAGTATAAGCTCAGTTGAAGAATACTTTAAGTTCAGATTAAATATAATTCAAGCACAGCTGAAGTGCATTTTAAAACTAGTTAACGTATTATTTAAGCTCAGTGGAAGTATATTTTAAGCCCAGTAGAAAAAATATTTTAAGCTTGACATTAATGTGTTATTACTAATACAATTAAAATATGCTATTTAGGTCTAAAACGTACAACTTAAGTACACTTTCTTTTCACCTTGGAAGACCATTGTTTGTTGCTAGACAATTCTGTGAAGTTGTTGGACCAGTGCTTTATATTTCATTAAATTTTTTTAACTCTTTATTTCCATGATGCATGTTAACAGGGGAATCAGAGTGAAATTTAATACCGTTTATGACCATTTTTAAGATTCTTCCCATACATTTTAAGACCTCATCACCACCAATTAGTAATGCGGACAACATTTTAACTTAAAGTATATTTACTAAATGCTGATTGTAAGTAAACAACCCTAAACTAAAACAGTATTTATATTCAGAATAAACATGCTAATCCAGCAGGGGGCACCAATAGAACAGCAGTTATTGCAGTAAACAAATAAGTGCAATGTCAAATTTAGCAGGATTTGTTCACAGCATCCCAATATTTCCTAAAATCAGGAAAACTTTAGCACACTCACATAACATGTAAGAATTTCAAATAATTTTTAAGAGTGTTAAATTTCTCTAAATTGACTTATCAACTTATAATACTTTTTAGGACGCTGTGGACACCCTAGTTTATCCTCCCTATCACAGATTTGGCAAAGTCATCAAAGCTTTCGTCAAAAACAATTCCAATTAAATATATGATAAAAAAATCTGGTAAATTATAAACGGGTTCCCCAAATGTGGTACTGACTCTGGAATGAATTTAGATGCTGTAGCCCATGTTAATGTAGTATTTTGAGAACAACGTAAACATTTAAAGGGTTTAATTCACACAGTATTTACTCACCCTCAAGTGGTTACAAACCTCTGAAAACCTGTAACCATTGAGGAAAAACAATAACTGTAGAAGTCAATGGTTTTTCATCCTTCTCCAAAATGTCTTTGTGTTTGACAGAAGAAAGAAACTTCTAGGTTTAAAGCTAATAAAGGGAAAGTAAATGATTTTGGGTGAACTATCTCTTTAAAGGGCACCTATTTTACCCCTTTTTTAAGATTTACGATAAATCTTTTGTCTCCAGAGTGTATCTGTAAAGTTTCAGCTCAAAACACCCATCAGTTGGCTTTTTAATGCGCTCACCTAAGCCCACCTCTAACCCTACCTCCATTTGAGTGCACTGTGTCTGCGATCTCAGCTTGCATTATAAAGGCTGCATTCAGATACTATTGGAAAGAGTAGAGGAGACTCGGTGTTGGGATCTATTCGTTCATTTTCTTGTCGGCCTAGTCCTTTTATTAATCCGGGGTCACCAGCGGAATGAACCGGCAACTTATCCATTTTTACGCAGCGGATGCCCTTCCAGCCGCAACCCATCTCTGGGTAACATCCACACACACATTCACACACACACTACGGACAATTTAGCCTACCCAATTCACCCAATACCCTACGGCATGTCTTTGGACTGTGGGGGAAACCGGAGCACCCGGAGGAAACCCACGCGAAGGCAGAGAGAACATGCAAACTCCACACAGAAATGCCAACTGAGCCGAGGTTCGACCCAGCGACCTTCTTGCTGTGAGGCGAACATGCGACCCACTGCGCCACTGCCTCACCCTCAGTGTTGGGATAATTGCTTTAAAATATTACCAGGCTTGTGAAATATTACGGAAGGAAGAGAAGGTCAGAATTTAAAACGAGATCGCCTATAACTCACAGACTTGTTGAGATCATCTGTGAAAACATTGTCCAGTAATTTGAAAGAAGCAAGGGCTACTTGACGGTCCTTCATAGAGAATGGCCTAACAGAATATAACACCAGTGACACATTAAATGCTAGCAGAGATCCAGAAATGGCAGACATTCAAGAAGATTATGAGGAATGGGAAAGAGATTCTCAGTGAGTCGGTCGGTGGTCAATGCTCAGACTGTGCAGTTCGATTTCCTATTGCACCAGTTCACTCTAATACCACCATGCATACTAGGGAAGCAGGGCTGGAACCAATGGCTCATAGCATGCTCAGAGGGTTTACCCAGATAAACTAGAAGCTGTGATCGCAAATATTGGGAAATTTGATCCCATTAAAAAGATCCTATAGTTTCTAAAGAAGTTAGAGGAATAAGCAGAGGTGTACAAATGGTGAAGGATGAGTGTGGTTAAGAAGGTACTCAGAGCCTGGAGCTTTATCTCAGAAAGTAAAAGTGCAAAACTGCAAACAATTCAGAGAGGAAACAGGCATTGAAACACTGATATGAGGAGAAAGTATCTGAGACACACGTGAGGAAAGGGAAACACCCATGTTTAAGACATTCGATGTCAGTGAGAAATCTCAAAGGATTGTTTGTCGTGCATGTGGATAGAATGGCCACATTTTAAAACAGCTTAAAAAAAGGAAGGAAAGCTCAGTGGTTTGTTGCAGATGTGGAATGATGGGGCACATGGCAAAAGTGTCACGCTTAACTCAAAAGGAAGACAAGTTATAAAGATTTGCATAAGAAAATAGTCAGATTAGGAAACCAGTTGGAACAGTTGAAAGGAATGAAGGAAGAACCCGTTCACACATTATCAGACACACCACTGCATGAACATGACAGTAGCTCAGTCTCAAGGCGATGCTGATGGGAACTGTTAGAATTGTTTAATGGTAGCACAATATCTCTGAGGAAACCTCACAACAGGATTGAAGCATATTCAGAGGCAGCATCTGAAGTCTGAGCTGCAGGTTAGTGGATCAACCAATGGTTTAACATGGTGAAACTTTCAATATTTCTTCAGGAGATGCTGAGATTTCAGTTTTGTGGAGTGCTGACAGATTAGTGTGAGTGTAGATTTATTTATTGACTTAATTTATATATGAATATATAATTTAAAAACTTAGTTTACTTACTAATGTATAAAAGCCAACAATCAACTCACATGAACAAAATACTATAGTGCTTTATGGTAAAAGCCTACAGTGTTTCGCTGTACACTGTTTATATTATAGCATTAAGATAATTTTATTGAATGTTACTTTATATTGTACTATTAATTATAGTAGAGTGCTAAACTGTAATGAAGACTGTTGTACACTTTTGCAGTAAAATATTGTAGGACAGTATAACCTATAGTCATTGAAAACTACAGTGTTGGTTAATTTTAATGTTGTTTTGTAGAGTATTGTTTTCATACAGGAAGGAGCTCTAGGAATCTGAATCAGGTGCATAATCACTAGCATAACGTATTCATGAAATGAGGAACTAAGTTGTTGTTAACAAGCCAGACATGGGGTGAGTGAAGGAAGTGTAGTGAATATAACAAGCGTTTAATAGTAAAAATCTATACATTTTATTTGTTATAATCAGACTTGATAAAAACCGTCTGCAGAAACACTTTGATTGACATTCTTCCTTTGTACCTGTCATCAGAAGGGGAAAGCCCCGCCCACTAGTTCCCATCTCTCCCTCATTAGCATAAGGTATTTGTCTTGTTGTGAATCTGCCACTATGCTGACACTCAGGCATTTGTAGCTCCATCTTTTTCTGTAAAACAATGGTACAATTAGGATCAAAGGCTGGAAGGGTCAGTTTCAGAGAGTTAGAAAAGATTATTTGTGGGCTATTTTGAGCTGAAACTTCACACACACTCTAGGGACATCAGAGACTTATTTTACATCTTGTATAAGACGGCGTAATACATTCCCTTTAAAGGTAACTTTTAAGATACCAGATGCAGTTGCTTTATAACACAAAGAATGGTCAGATAGGGTTGATAAAAGCAAACATAATCATCAAGGCAATCAAAAAAAGTCATCAAAAAACAGGCAGGAGATGTGTTAGGCTGCTAACATCAAAAATCACACAAGCAAAGCAAGGAATCAAAATACGGCAAGGCAAAACAAGGGAAGGAAAACGCTTTGTAAAGGTTACAGGTAACAACAACAAGACTCAACAATGTCAGTGTGTATGTGCGCTGTATAAATAGTCCATGCAATGGGTCCTTGAGCAGCTTCAGCTGTCCGTGTTTGCAATCAGTCGGGATCAGGAACTGGTGTGTGTGTGCGGTGCAAGCTGGAAGTTGTAGTTCATATATGTGGCAGATTTGTAGTTTTATTGCTGGTGATTGTAACATATGTACAAACTTTTTAAATCTAAACTGCTGTCATGACTAGAGGAGCTGAGATCAGAATTTGTATTTTCTGTCCGTGAACAACAACAAACTATTGAATTGAAATGTTAATATGCCGACTGTCTGAACTAAACTTTAGTTTAGAATTTAACACCATTTAAAGGAAAAAGTGAGTATGAAGGTAAACAATATTTTTCAGATGTTCTCATCTTCTCCATTTCAGCAGAATGTTCACGTACACAGTGTCTGTTGTGACTGGAAATCAGGTGTTTGCTGGGACTTTGAACTACATTTACCTGACGCTGGTGGGTGAAGAGAGAAGCAGCGACCGAACTCTGCTGGACAAATCCTGGTTTGAACGTTTGGACAGAGGAAAGGTTAGATTTCAGGATGTTCAGTTATATAGTTTAAAACCCAATAGGTTAAGGTAACACAAACCATTTGAGGAAATCGATTGCAACAAATCATTTAATTTCTAAAACTAATCCTAATGAGTGCTGTGGACTTACTCCATTTGAATAAACGGATCAATTTGAGTTGTGTAACAGAAGTTGTTGTTAAAGGTGGTCTCCATTGACATCCATGTGGAGGAGACTCTTGGAGAGCTTCTGCTGGTCAAACTGGAGAAGGAGAAGTTCCTGATCAATGATGATTGGTACTGCAGGAGCATCAGTGTAACGGCACCCGCTGGAGACTGCTTTGAGTTCCCCTGTTATCGGTGGATAGCTGATCAAAAGGAGCTGGTTCTTCCAGAAGGACGGGGTAATGTCCTGAATGAGGAAATATACTCTCCTTTGTGCGTTTGTGTGTATTTATGCATTGTGTGTGTTTCTTCAGGTCGATTGCCTCAAGATGAAAAGCTCTCAATAGTGAAAGAGTGCAGGCACCTGGAACTGGAAAACAGACAAAAACATTTCAGGTATTTTTGGCAGTGACAATACTGTCATTTGCCCGTTTTTGTTTGTTTAAAACTGCAGTAGGTGATAGTTTCCAGAAACTGTTTGGTTATGCTGGTTAAAAGTCTCTTCACAGTCCAATAGTAATGATTAAAGTAAATGATCTAAATGTGTTTATACAGTTGAAGTCAGAATTATTAGCCCCCCTTTGAATTTTCTTTCCTTTTTTAAGTATTTCCCAAATGATGTTTAACAGATTCAGCAAGTTTTCACAGTGTGTCTGATAATATTTGTTCTTCTGGAGAAAGTCTTATTTGTTTTATTTTGGCAAGAATAAAAGCAGTTTTTAATAAAAATAAAATAAAAAACATTTTGAGGTCAATATTATTAGCCCCCTTAAGCTATATATTTCTTCGATAGTCTACAGAACAAACCACTGTTATACAATAACTTGCCTAATTACCCTAATCTGCCTAGTTAACCTAATTAACCTAGTAAAGCCTTGTAAATGTCACTTTAAGCTGAATACTAGTGTCTTGAGTTATTAAAACTATTATGATTAGAAATGTGTTGAAGAAGTCTGCTCTCTTTAAAACAGAAATTGGATTGATAATTTAGATTTATATTCAGTTAAACAACAGAACATCAGTAAATAGCGCTATTCTGCCTAGCCTGCTTTACTGAGCTGAAGTTGCTTTTATCTTCACATTGGGTCATTCCTGAACAATGACAGCCTGTGATGCGCTCCCTATATTGTTCACCGCTACTCTGAATATTCGCTCAAAAAGAGTATGTCATTATGGCTTAGTATTGAATGTAATTCCTGCACGTCGCCCGCCAAACACTAAGCATACAGTAGTGGCTTTAGGACAAAGCGTGTTAGAGTGAGACCAGCGGTCTGAATGCAGTCTCAGTGCAGCAGGTCTCTTGCCCTGTCTATTTTAACCTTTAGCCCTGCTGGTAATCTGGAGGATTTAGATGAGCACAGCAGCATGGCGATGTGTCGAAATGTGAACAAACTCCACTGATAAAGGACAAAGTCCGCCATTCTCCGCCACACTCATACTGCTCTCCCGACAAAAATGCTTGCAGCACACAAACAGTTTTGCTGTATCAGTTCTGACAGGATCGTAGAGAAAAACATGCAACAAACTCCTGGATCATGGAAACTTTTCATGAACGGCTAAATACTGTGTGCCGTGGGTCTGTAGACGCGTCTCACCCAGTCATCAACGTAGGATCTCACAGCTTGGCACTGGCAGATCTGTCTTGCCTTCGGAAAGCATGTGCAGTCATGAATAATTAAGAAGCCGGCTCTTCTCATAGGATAAGAAAACTCCGCTATGAATAATAATGAGAAACCGACAGGTCCTCTTTGCACTTGCAGATTTGCGCTACGTCACCGATTTTTCCGCCCCAAAAATCATTTTAAACCCGGAAGCTGAAATTAGCTGACAAAAGCTAAAAGTTATCCAATTTTTCCCACAGTTAAAGCTGACAGGTGCTAACATTGTCCTAACTGATGCTCAACACACACACACACACATCTGTTAACATCTCCAAAAAAGTACTCGAGGGTTTCGTCAACCTTTAAAGCGATGCCCCATCACTCTTCCTGTTGTTTTTAGCTCACAGGTTAAAATCAGCAAGTCACTGTCCAACAACAGAAAGATTAATGCTGTTTCTTTTGCAGGTGGAAAGAATGGAAACCCGGTTTCCCAATGTCTATTGATGTCAATGGATCCTCTGAACTTCCTTTGGACGTTAAGTTTGATACCGAAAAAGTAGTGGACTTCAAATTGCATTTCCTGAAAGGGTAGGTTACCCTGTTCATGTTTATTATTTTGCTTTAATCCCAGGCTAACGTGAATCTTACTGATTTCTTAAGATGTAGTTAGACTGGTGCTGGAAAATATTTCTAATTAAATGGAGCAACAAATGGGCGAGGCAGTGGCGCAGTAGGTAGTGCTGTTGCCTCACAGCAAGAAGGTCGCTGGGTCGAGCCTCGGCTCAGTTGGCGTTTCTGTGTGGAGTTTGCATGTTCTCCCTGCGTTCGCGTGGGTTTCCTCCGGGTGCTCTGGTTTCCCCTCACAGTCCAAAGACATGTGGTACAGATGAATTGGGTAGGCTAAATTGTCCACAGTGTATGAGTGTGTGTGTGTGTGGATGTTTCCCAGAGATGGGTTGCGGCTGGAAGGGCATCCACTGCGTAAAAACTTGCTGGCTAAGTTGGCGGTTCATTTCGCTGTGGCGACCCCGGATTAATAAAGGGACTAAGCTGAAAAGAAAATGAATGAATGAATGAATGGAGCAACAAATTGATGGGATAAGTCTTTAGCCAATAATTCACCCCACCCCCCAAAAAACATAAAATTGAGGAGAAAAAAATATGTTGTTTGCAATTTAGAAAACAATATAATCATGTTTCAGTTGTGTGCGATGTAATTTCAAGTGTCTTACAATTTGGTTGCTTTATAATTTTATGCAACCTTTAACATTTTTGTTTTGGAATATGAATTTTTTGTTACATGAACTCAATAATTTAGGTGGGAAATGATCTCACAAAATGTAACTTAACCATTCAGCAGGCACAGGACATCAACATGACGTCAGATTGATGCTCTACCCCAACGTTGTGAGACGTTGCATTTTGTTTGGAAATGAAAATTGGGTTGACGTCAGATTCCAATGTCTGGCCAACTTAAATGTCCAAAGTTGGGCAGACATTGCATTTTGGTTACTTTCCACTCATTCATTAATTTTCTTGTCGGCTTAGTCCCTTTATTAATCCGGGATTGCTTATCCAGCAAGTTTTTACGCAGCGGATGCCCTTCCAGCCGCAACCCATCTCTGGGAAACATCCACACACACACTCATACACTACAGACAATTTAGCCTACCCAATTCACCTGTACCGCATGTCTTTGGACTGTGGGGGAAACCGGAGCACCCGAAGGAAACCCACGCGAACGCAGGGAGAACATGCAAACTCCACACAGAAACGCCAACTGACCCAAGGCTCAAACCAGCGACCTTTCTGCTTCGCCTGGTCACTTTCCAACGTAACCTAAATACAGCAACATGTCAACGTCTAATGATGTCACAGCTTGACGTTGATTGGACGTTACTACTATGGCGTCTATCAGATGTTGGATTTTGGTTGTCATATCAGACGAATAAATGTCAGTATTTGACGTTGGTTTAAGGTGTTGGCTAGATGTTGGATTTTGGTCACTTTCCAACACAACCTAAAATCAACAAAATGTTGACGTCATATTACGTCTTTATTAGACGTCAAAATAATGTTCTTAGCTAAGGGTGACTTAAATCTATCTTAATATTAACATCTTATGATATTGTGTGTCTCCTAGGCAGAATCACACACTGAAAATCAGATTTTGAGCATTCAGCTGTATCTTTCTTCTTTTTCAGGATTGGAAATGTTGGTCTTAATAAATGTAAGGGTTATTACCAGTCTTGGAAAGACTTTGCAGATTTTGAAAAAGTGTTCATAACCATTGAGAACACAGTGTCAGGTTTGAATAATTTAATATATATATATATATATTTTTTTTTTTTAGATTGAGCATCCATGTGCTGCCAAACAAATGCAAACAATATCATATTATCAATTCACCCATTAACCCACTTTATCATTCATTATTACAGAGCATTTGATGCAGAGGTGGAAGGAGGATGCAGTGTTCGGTTATCAGTTCCTAAATGGCTGCAATCCTGTGATGATCAAAAAGTGCACAGAACTTCCAGGGAAGTTTGTGGTCACGCAGGAGATGGTGAGGAACTCCCTGGATAAAGGAACAACTCTGCAGGATGAATTACAGGTTAGAGAAACACTTACTAAACGTATACTATTAATCAAGTTAGATTAATAATTAAGGGATTTTATGTTGTTAGAACTTTTTTCTTATTAACAAGGTGTTATTTCTTATTAAAAGAACATTTTCTTGTAATAATGAGATTAAATGTTAAAGGGTCATGAAACCACTCTCTTTCAGTTTAAGGGTATCTCAGAATTTGGAAGAGTGGGCATGGCCGACAGAGCAGGGTAAAAAAGAAAGGCTTGTGTCAGTTGGCTCACCATGCAGCTCAAGATAAATAAAATCTGATACAAAATGTGAGGAGACGCATGATTTTATAAGTTAAACATTTAAAATGCAAAGAAATAAACAATAGGTCATTTAATGTTGCTACATAGAGTTGAAGTCAGAATTATTCGCCCCCCTTAGATTTTTACTTTCTTTTTTAAATATTTTCCAAATGATGTTTAACAGAGCAAGGACATTTATCAGTGTGTCTGATAATGTTTTTACGTCTAGAAAAAAAATTATTTGTTTTATTAAGGCTAGAATAAAGGCAGTTTTTAATTTTTTAAAAGCCATTTTAAGGACAAAATTATTAGCCCCTTTATTTTTTCCTGATAGTCTACAGAACAAACCATTGTTTTACAATAACTTGCCTAATTACTGTAACCTGCAAAGTTTCCCTAATAAACCTAGTGAAGTCTTTAAATGTCACTTTAGGCTGTATAGAAGTGTCTTGAAGAATATCGAGTCTAATATTATGTGCTGTCATCATGGCAAAGAGAAAATAAATCAGTGATTAGAGATGAGTTATTAAAAGTATTATGATTAGAAATGTGTTGAAATCTGCTCTCTGTTGTAAAAAAACTTCTCCTTTACAGGCAGGAAACATCTACATAGCAGACTATGAAATACTGGAGGACGTGCAACCCAATGACACAGACCCCAGCACCCAGCAGTATTTGGCCGCCCCCTTCTGCCTGTTTTACAAGAACGGACAAAATAAATTCATACCAATCGCTATTCAGGTGCCTGAAAAAAACTATTATTCCACAATAACTTTAAAATAAAAATCAGTGTCACGTTTTATTATATTCTGCTCTGGTTTCTGGAACAGCTCAGTCGTGAGGCCACTCCAGGACAGATGAACACAGTCTTTCTTCCCAGCGATAATCACTACGACTGGTTGTTAGCCAAGATGTGGGTGAAATCCTGCGACTTCAACGTACACCAGCTGGTCACACACCTTCTCAGAACACACCTGATATCTGAGGTGTTTGCCATAGCCATGTTCAGACAGCTCTCTGCTGTCCATCCTGTGTACAAGGTATACAGTATACAGCACTTGGTGTTATATGTTGGTTACCACATGTTTGATAAAATGCCTTTAAGATGGCTTCTATGTGATCACTAGGGCTGTTTCTTAATATGTGTTCTTCAGCGGTCTTGCATCCTTGTGTTCTCGTGTAATGTCATCATCAGCTGCCAAAGTTCAGTACTAATACTCAAGAGCACAAGAACAGAGGACGCGTGAAACTTCCTGATTGTGTTCTTGATATCAAGGACGCACCGATGCAGACTTGAGCACCAAACTCGCTCTGGAAATCCCAGAAGTCATTGCGTATTAGCATTTTAAATAGATTTATTATTAAAGTTCAGAGATATAACTTATTTGCCTTAGGACTTTCCCTAAATGGAACGGTGAATATAAACATTATCATGGACATCTTAATAAAGGAATGAACACAATAAGGGTGTTTATTTGCTGAAATTCATATAAAAATCTGTGTTATTTATATCGTGCAACGTATATTTATCTCTGTCTTCGCGGTCTCCTGAATTAGTTCTTCCAAGGACACATGGCAAGACCGGTCTCCACAAGAACGCAAGTCCATTCTCTACGTTCTTGGAATTGAGAAACAGCCTTGTTCTTTGCCTCAGGAGAACGATCTTGCCTTTATCGTTTTATTACATTTTACCTGGGTAAACCACAAACCTTCCCAAACTCAAGAGAATGGATGTAAATGTTTAGAGGATTTCTAATTAATATTAAAGGTGTTTTATAATTCAGTTTATGGTTTGAAGCTTGAAGCATGTTTTCTCTGAATACTTTTTCTCTTCTCTAGTTACTGATCCCTCATGTCCGTTTCACCATTGCCATCAACACTGCAGCACGTGAAAAACTCATCAATGACACTGGGGTCTTTAATGAGGTATTTATTACCATTTCCTATACTCAAATAAGTTAACAAGCCACTTGCTCGATTTGCAAAATACAAATATGTCTCATTAAAAAGAATGGAACTAGTTTAGTTCTGTTAAACGATGCTTTCATGTTGTTTCTTCTGTTCGTGGACAAAACTTCTTGTGCGCACTAAAAACACCGGCTGCTCACAAATAAACTACTTGAAATACTTAAGTACAAAAAATTTAAACACTTGAGTACTTTCACTTCAGTATGGTGCTTAAAGAGCACTTCATCTTCTACTCAAGTCACTTTTTGACAGAGCACTTGCACTTTTTCCCAAATCTGGATCTCTAGTATCATATAAATGTTTGCTTTTAAATAACAGTAACAAGTAATCTGTAATGTATTACAGTTTGGAAATAACTTGCACAACACTGATTGAGAACGCACGTTCAGAACAACGACAAGAGACACAAAACTGACAAGACATGACCTGTGCCCGGACTTTGCCACAAAAACAAGAATTAACAAGACCAAAGTGGCAGAATCCTAACAACTAACTGTTTAATGTCTAAAATTATTTTATTCCATCATTATGACTTTCGTCCTGTGATATTCTCTGTTCTGTTCACAAGAACTCATCCGTGTTTTCTCCTGTTTTAAAGGCTAATAGCAGTGGAGGGATTGGACTTCAGCAAGTGATCCAAAAGGCCATGCAGACATTAACCTACAAGTCTCTGTGCTTCCCTGAGGCCATGAAAACTCGAGGAGTTGACAACCAGGAAGATCTGCCCAACTACTACTACAGAGATGATGGCATGCTGGTCTGGGAGGCAGTGAAAAGGTACTTAAATATGCACAAACCGTAGTTTTTTTAGTATTATTTTTACTTGCTGATTCATCATTTGCCTTCCTCCAGCTTTGTCTCTGATGTGGTCAAGATCTACTATAGTAGTGATGAGACCGTTCAGGGAGATGAGGAGATCCAGGCTTTTGTTCAGGATGTTTGCTCCTCTGGTATGAAGAATTGTCCCAAGAACGGTGGTGAGTATAGGATCATTTTACTATACAATGAATGAGTCTGTGCAAGCTTGTAAATGTAGAAGTTTGTCAGCTTCCATATGCATTATTCACATAATGGTACTTCTATGTGAATGATCTATGTTCACAGAGTTTCCAAGTGCCCTAAAAACCCAGGAGCAGCTGGTTGAGTATCTGACCGTGGTGATTTTCACAGCTTCAGCACAACATGCAGCAGTCAACTTTGGACAGGTGGGATTTCACACACTTTTCTGGAGGAATATAAACAAGACCTTGTAAATATCCAGCCTGATATCTGTGTGTCTCTCCTGTGTTCCAGTTTGACTGGTTTGCTTGGGTCCCGAACACTCCGTCCACCATGCGGAAACCTCCACCCACAGAGAAGGGCAAAGTGGATATGAAGTACATCATGGAGAGTCTGCCGGACCGCCAACGCTCCAGTTGGCATATAGGAGCAGTTTGGGCCCTCAGTCAGTTCCAGGACAGTGAGGTTTGATTACTGAATTTTCATAACTAGCTTACAGTAGACCTGCTTTCATTATACTTATTGACCAAACAAAACAACAATTCACTGTTTTGTCCTAATCTTCTGTCCAGCTGTTTTTAGGCGAATACCCTGATAAGTATTTCACTGAAAAACTGGTCACTGAAGCAATTGAGAATTTCCGCAAGGAATTATTTGTCATCACTAAGATCATCAGAAAGAGAAATGAAACTCTGGAGCTGCCCTACTTGTATCTGTGTCCAGACAGGATCCCCAACAGCGTGGCCATCTGAAGAAAACATCTGTGGCGAACATCTTCAAAAGCTGCTCACAGTTCATTTACACAGTATTTGCTTAGCACTTTAAAAAAAAGGCAGCAAAAAACATTGGAAAGCATGGTTTTAATTGGGCTGTTTAGATCTGTATCACACACAAAAAAATAAGCACAACAAATTACTGTAATACAGCGGTCCTAAACTCAATTCCTGGAGGGCCGCAGCTCTGCGTACTTTAGCTCCAACCACCTTCAACTCACACCTGTGTAATAGTAGTCTTGAACACCTAGTAGTCTTGAACATTTAACTATTGAACTATTTAGAACATTAACATAATGGATACAGCAGTGGATATAAACGAGTACCCTGTCACATTTGCCATGCCAAAACTGCAATGCTAAACGCGCGTGCGTGTGTGTGTGCGCTCAAACTCCACACCAAATACATCAAACAACCGTTGAAAAAGTTTGTACTGTAATAAAAGAGATCTGCTTCATTCTCGTCTGATACTGTGCTGCTTATGCGTGAGCTGCAGCAGGAGACGCTACACCCTTCAGAGCAATAGTGAGCGATCTCTTGCTCACAAAGCATCTTAAATTTCTAATATACACAAAGGTATAATAAATAGTCTGATGGGTGTTTTGAGCTGAAACTTTACAGACACATTTTGGAGACACAAAAGTCTTTTATTAAATCATGAAAAGGGGGTAAAATAGGTGTCCTTAAAGAACTTGTAGATAATTGTACTAGAAACAAGACACATTTTTTCCAGTGTAAGTACGTCAAAGAAAGAGGACAGCCATGCATTTGCTCTTGGACACAGTATACATTTATTTATATTGCATTCATTTTGCATGCTTGGAATTATCCAATCGCAAATTCAAGTCATTACAATTTAATTTTAATTTTGATTAATCGTACGTGGCAGTCTTGTGAAAGCATGACACACAAATTTAGAATCAAAAATTGTCCCCTTTTTAGTCATTCTCATTCACAGTTACTGTATATTGGGGCACTTTCTGCAGGATGAGTTGCAGGGTTGCTGATCACAGCAATCTGTAAGAAAACGTAGATGAATGCGTATTAATTGATATTCGATAACTTTGACTCTTTACTGAATTCTTTACACCTTTCCAGTACATGAACACTCATATTTTGTGATTTTGTTTCTTGAGTACCAATATACTTAAAGTACAATTAAGCTGGGGTTCAGATCTCTCTTACCTCTGAGCTGTCATGGAGATGGGTCTGTGAAGTTATAACTTGTGATATAAACTGCACCTTTGGAGAAACACAGGTTTAATATTTTTTAAAAACCATTAGAATATCAAGTAGAGTTCACGTACCATGAAGACTTGTTTTTGAACTTTAAAGACAATTTACATCAATATTTGCAACACAGGCTCATTCTAAAAACGTAGTCCAGCGGACGTTTCTGGAGACCGCGGGATCCCGGGAGGTACGTATGGCTGCATTTAATTTTTCTAATTATCCTAATTCTAAGAATCCAAAAAATAAAGTGAACGAGTTCATAACAGGGTGAGAATGCGATGAAATCTGAAAACGTGATAAGAAAAAAAAAAACAGACGAGGGTTTTTCTTTTTCTAGACGGCTTTTCTAAATTGTCGCTCGGGTTCAGGGAAGTGAGTGGCCGGGCGGGTCAATTGGTAAAACTGGTTGGGTTCAGGGAAGGAGGTGGGTGGGTCAGCCGATTGGCCGGTCGCGCAGTCAATCATTCGGTCAGTCAGACAGCGGCCTCTGGTGGGTTGACGCAAGAACAGCGCGGGCGTGAACGGAACTCGTGAGAGACATTCGAGATACGAAAAAGAGTGCACAGCGGCCTCTCGCGGATTCACGAAAACACAAACTGCACAAATACGTACCTCCCGGGACGTATTTTGCGGTCTCCAGAAACGTCTGCTGGACTACGTTTTCAGAATGAGCCTGGGTTGGATATTTACATGTTTTTGACCCTTGAACCATGTTTTGAATAGTTGCAATTTAGCCAAATATTGCCCCATTTTAACAAACCATTCATCAGTGGAAATCTTATTCATTCGATTGTATCCAGGGTCACAAATGCCCTGGTGCCTTCATCTGGTTTTCTAAAAAACAGCATCTGAAAGTTATAACAACTTTTAAAAGTTTCTCAGTATGCTGCTGTCATGAGTAGACAGGACTCAGACAGGTATTAGGGCCCGCTTCCACTGATCGGTATGGTAGGGTACGGTTTAGTACGCTTTTATGGCCAATTCCACTGTCAAAAGTCGTACCGAACCAAACCGTACCGTACCACTTTTTCGGCACACTTTCGAAAGGGTCCCAAACACGAGAAAGGGTCCCAATAGGTGGAGCTAGATGTGCAGCTGAACGCTATTGGTTTACAGAGATACGTCATTCTCTTACGCAACAAGCCAGAATGTAAACAAAGCTGTTGACCTGTCAAGTTACAATGTAAGCAATTTCTGAGTCCACATAACTGAAGGCACAATTCATTGCATTCTAGGAATGATTTATTGATGGAAAATGCCACCAGGTCACTGAACCTCTTAGTAGAAGCTAGCATGGCCAGCAGAGCTGTCTTTTGTGACAGGTACTTGAACGGCATTGACTCAAGCAGTTCAAATGGCTCTCTCTGTAGACCCACCAGGACCACAAAAAGATTCAACGAGGTGATGAGAGGTAGGTGAGATGGATTTATTCACCAAGCACTTCTGAGGAATTGAATGACCAGGTCATGGTTCCTGAGCATCCTGCCATCCACCGTATCAACTTCAAAACCAGTGGTTTTCAGCCAGATTCCTGGAGCCCCCTTGCACAGTGACTGCATCCGAAATCTCCTACTGTTTCAAGTAGGTACTACATCTAAATTCACTTCATGACCATTCGAAAAATATATGCTATCACGGTTGATTAATCGAAAATAAACCAAAACTGAAATTCATAAACTATAACTTTTGGAATTTCTCCATGTTGGTTCTTTGTTTTATTCATCTTGTTAATACTACCTTTTTAAAACACATTGCTACATGTAGAAAGCCTTAGCACTTCAGAGTTTCACTCTCAGCGTAGAGTGAGTACATTGGAACATGCTTGCTCTGAGTGAATCCCCACTAACAACTCTTAGTGACCGACTGAAAGGGAACTCCAGACTTGACTTATTACTCACCTGAGGAGAGCAGCAGGTGGCTTTACAGGCAGACGCTGACAGAAAAATGGAGATGATACACTCAAGGATGGCGAACACCAACAACACACCACTGATTCCCATGGAAAGAGTCTGAGAGAAGATTCAACATTAACATAAATATTAGCAACAAAAAAAGAAGACTAAATTGACACGTACACTTGCTGCTTAGCAGTCCAATATTTAGTAAAATAATATACTTTTAGGTCAAACTTTCCTAAGTTTACATGTATAATGACAATGCCTCCTTTCCTAAAGATCTGTAAATACTATTATTATATTATTGTAAATATAAAAGTGTCACGTTATGTGGGACGGATGTAACAAAAACAAGGAATCTTAAATAATCCACATATAAGATAATAAGCACAGACAATGAACTGAGGACAATGAGACTGACACTGATAGATGACAAAAATGTTATAGTACTTAACTAAATACCCAACTAAATAATATTACATACCCGATACAAATAGCGGAATTGGTAGTCGTAATGGACAGAATAGTCAAAAAAACTGTACATTGAATTCACTGACAAATCCACTACCAATAGTATAATGGAAAAGCCTGCAATAATAGCACTGATGATGTTCATTCCAAGTGAACCTTTCACCTTTAGGCAGAAACACAACACAAAGCAGAAACTTTAAATAAATAGATGAACACAAAATAGCCATGAGTGGCAATAGCCACTAGTTTATCGCTACAATGTAGTTTTTAATTTAATTGAAATGATATAGATAATAACAAATACAGAAATTGTTGTGTACATACCAAACACAAACTGGAGGGGGAATTGAGTCTGTTTTCTGCAGCAATGCAGAGTGAGCCTGTGCTAATGTACTGAGAGAAGAGAGGACAACATTAAAGATTCTGATAGTTTAGCTTGTAAATTTAAAGACAGAATGTATAATTGTTTAACTGTTCCTTACAATGACAGATCCCCAGAAAGGACAACCAAGACTTGCAAAAGGAGAGTTGACATAAATTGCAGACACAATGCCGAACAGGAGAGTCAACAAACCAATCATTATCTGGACAGTCTGTACAGGGCAAAAACAGTACAGTCAGCATGAGAATACAATTCATATAAAGTCGTCATGAAATCAAAATATACTCTTCTTATTTTTATATGTATTTAATCACATGGATACCATTTTATATGTATTTAAGTCATGGCCTCTTCTCCTGTGTGTATCCCTCCGCCTGCAGCGAGTGCCAAGCAGAAGACTAAACTCACTACAGTTTGACAAATACTGCGTCTGTTCGACCATGTAATGCATTTTTAGGCAAGAATGTAGTTGTTTGGATTGCAAATGTGCAATTTATTCATAAGTATTGAATCTATTTGAATGATTTTGGAGATGGAACTTCCAGCACATGTCAATGATCCAACCCAAGCTCATTTTGAAAATGTACCTCTACATACATTTCTGGAGAGCACCAAATACATCCCAGGGGCTACGTTTTTTTGCAGTAAAGGTTTTTGCAGTGTATGGTTTTTCCATTCACGCCTGCTGTTCCCACGTAAATCTATCAGAGGTCGCTATCGACTGACTGACTGACCCACCCCTCCTTCCCTAAACCCAACCTACAGTGTTTTCAAAAGCACAGATTGACCCGCTTCCCCCTAACCCCAACAGACAATTTAAAAGTAAAGTAATCCAGAAAAAGAAAAGCCCTGTCATGTTTTTTATCATGCATTCAGATTTTACTTTGTTATTTACTTAGTTTATTTTATTTTTTGGCTTTTGTTTTTGCCTCACCTGCTTTCTGGAACCACTCCTCACCAGACTCAAACCCCGTTGTCAAGGTCAACTCCTCTCTCTGTCTCAAACCCACCGACATACATGGCAAGCTAACCAGACAAACGTAACAGTGGGAGAGCTGTCCATATGGAGGTAAACGGTCAGCTGGTAGCGTGAAAAGAAACGGCATCACACCACCACATAACATTCGTTTTAAAAACGAAATGCAGCCATACGTACTTCTGGCTACATAATTCGAAATCTCCAGAAATGTATATAGGGCTATGTTTTCAGAATGAGCCTGTGTTGCAATGATCATTCAGCCTGTGTTTGACCACTGAGAGCACTCCTGTGATGGGTTGCCTGAATATAACAATTTTAATTTACTCACTATCCTTTGGCTTACAATTTGAACTGTTTACTTGTTGAATGTTAAATTTGACATTAAATTTATTCCTGCGATTCATCCATTAGTGTCTTATGATCCTTTAGAAATCATTATTATATGATGATTTGCTGTTCAGTTATGATCAGTAATTATTGGTGCAAATCACTAATAGTAATCCTTTCAATTATCAATGCTGAAAGACTTATGCTGTATTCACACCCGACGCGGAACGTGCGGATAAATCGCGCTATTCGTGCATAAATTGCCGCGTGAACATTTGAGTTTATATGCTTTATTCGCGCGTCAAATTCGGGTGATGGGCAGGGCTTCTGTCTGCCCGGTGACTCTAGCTTCGCAGCTAAATGGCTAACATGGATTTTATGAAGAAAATAACAGTGTTTATGTGTTTTATGAAGGCTGAAAAACAACGTCGACACGTTTAGGGTCGTGTCTGAGTCCACTACATCCTTTCAGAGGTGCATCCAGCTCTGTGAGCTCATCAACTCCTCCAGAAACTGAACCTGGATGACGGAGGCTCTCAGCGGTGCTTCTGACTGAGCCAAGCCCAGTTTGATGAACTGTTGTCGGTGAAGGCTGGAGTATTTCCCTCGGAACACCGACAACAGGTTCTACGTCACAATCACACCCCCACAACAGCAAGCTTCTGATTGGTTAACACGGCCAGGGCCGGCGTGTCCATAGAGGCGACCTAGGCGGACCTAGGCGGTCGCCTAGGGCGGCAGTATAGAGAGGGCGGCATCCGCGACACCTCCCTCACCACCCGCATCCTCAGATATATTCGCGCATAGACGACAGAATAGAGAGGGCGGCGTCAGCGACACCTCCATCAGCACCCGCATGTCCTCAGTTATATCCGCGCATAGGGCGGCAGAATAGAGAGCGCAGTGTCCGCTAAAGATTTCTCCCTCAGCACCCGCACGTCCTCAGTTATATCAGTGCATAGTGCGCTGGAAAAGAGGTCCGCGACAACATACTTCATTTTCATAAACGGTCACTTTCGTTTTCACATTGGGGTTGAGGGCGGCGTGATCGTACTCTGCCTAGAACGGCAGTTCAGCTTGCTCCGGCCCTGAACACGGCGCGAATGTCCGCTGAAGTTCAGATTTTCAAACTCGAGCGACTGGCGCGAAATATGCGTTAAGTTTGTCAAACGCGCAAAACGCTCAATTCGCGTGTATCGTGCCATTCGCACAACGCCATTCGCATCATTCGTGCCGCAGGATGTCTATTCGCGCGTTTGCATTGACTTAACATGTAAATCACTCGCGTGTTTTTTGTGGTTTTGATTTTGACGCATGTTCCGCATCTGGTGTGAACGCAGCATTAAAGCTCAAAATAATAGCTTTTATCAGTCTACTTTTTTACATTGTAAATGTATTTATAATACATTTACAATACAAAGATTGCACACAATATGTATGCTTGTGTGAACCACTCCATTTTGGGATTTAATCATGTTCATTTCTAACCTCACACTGATATATTTACATTATAAAATAATAATATAAAACATATACTAATAATAGCAGGGTGGTGCAGTGGCTCGGTGGTTAGCACTGTTGCCTCACAGCAAGAAGATCGCTGGTTCGAGCCCTGGCTGGGTCAGTCGGCATTTCTATGTGGAGTTTGCATGTTCTCCTTGTGTGGGTTTCCTCCAAGTTTCCTCCACAGTCCAAACACATGCGCTATAGGTAAATTGGATAAGCTAAATTGGCCATGTGTGTGAGAATGTGAGAGTGTATGGGTGTTTCTCAGTACTGGGTTGCAGCTGGAAGGGCATTCGCTGCGTAAAACATATGGTGGAATAGTTGGAATTGTTCATTCCGCTGTGGCGACCTCTGATAAAGGGACTAACCCGAAGAAAAATGAATGAATGAATAATATTATTAATAATAATAATACAAAAGATAATAAAAGAAAACTTAATGAACAAATTCTCACCCCAAGGGCTTTAGGTTGGCTTTTCAGAAATGCCTTTAGTTCAGTGAGAGATGGAGCTCCCGCTAGCTGCTGTAGACTAACGGGGACATTCGCATGTCCAGCTGGAGTTTGAGCTGCTGGTTGAAGCTGAATGATGAAGGTTGAAGAGCCAACGGGCATCACTGTGCTGGACATCCTTGTTTCTCAATCTGGAACAGACCAGCAGAAAATCATAGTAAATCACGGTGTGAATGGGGTATAATTACAGCTGGTGTTGTTCAGCCAACGGTAAACTTGCCATAAAAGGTTAATGTGACTGTTTTCAAGGTTCCTTTTAAAGCATATAGCTAATACTGTGGATAGAAATAATGTTAAAAAGAAGAGCTGTAGTAGACCTTGAAAAAGGTATAAAATACACAAAATCCTATTAGTCGAGCATTTTATTTAAATCGTTTATAGCAAAAACTCATTTCCAAAAACACTACTAGTCATTGTACGTCCAGGAAATGCATTCGTTAATATGTCAGTCGACAAAATGCAAAAATAATGCAAAGAAAGGACTTTATATTAAAGGTGGTCAGATGTAAAGTATAAAATTTTGTGGTTTACCCGAAAGGAAATTCTCTCTTTGGTTGGTTCGCTACTTGATCTTTCCTCTGTAGTTCAGATCACTCTTCTGAGATCAGCCAAATGTGAACCTTTATGTCTGTTATTACCTTAATTCTACTGGTACAGTTTCCCAGAATGAAAGGTGGAGCACAGGTTGTTAGGAGGAGTTAGAATTTCAGTGCCACCAGGAAATATAGAGAATATATATATATATATATATATATATATATATATATATATATATATATATACATACACACAGTTGAAGTCAGAATTATTAGCCCCCTGTTTATTTTTTCCCCAATTTCTGTTTAAAGGAGAGAACATTTCTTCAGCACATTTCTAATCATAATAGTGTTAATAACTCATCTCTAATAACTGATTTATTTTATCTTTGCCATGAGGACAGTAAATAATATTAGACTAGATATTCTTCAAGACACTTCTATAAAGCTTAAAGTGACATTTAAAGGCTTCACTAGGGTAATTAGGGTAACTAGGCAGGTTAGGGTAATTAGGCAAGTCATTGTATAATGATGGGTTTTTCAGTAGAAAAATAGTATATCTTAAAGGGACTAATAATATTGACCTTAAAATGGTGTTTAAAAAATTAAAAACATAATTTGAGAAATATATACATATGTAAAAAAGGAGAAAAAATTAATTTAAAAAATTTTTAAAATTAGTGACAGCACTAATATATATATATATATATATATATATATATATATATATATATATATATATATATATTAGTGCTGTCAATCGATAAAAAAAAATTTAACTAATTAATCACACTTTTTTTGGCTATTCAAATGTAAAATTTATGCAAACGCAAGACAAAAAACTATTTAAATTCAAAATATAATTTATTTATTATAGTTTATTATAGTTTTTGTTTAACTTGTAACACAGATTTCTTCATGTAAACAACAAAACCACAATAAACCATCAAGATCCTGGCTTGACAGACATATTTATTACAGAAATTAAAACACATTCATTTCTGTTTCTATGTATAAGACTGGATCTCAAGGAAGCCTCACTGCATCTGGACAGATCATTTTTCTAATAATGAATCAGCAGCATTTCCCAGTGATGGGTTGCGGCTGGAAGGATATCTGCTGTGTAAAAACTTGCTGGATAAGTTGGCGGTTCATTCCGCTGTGGCAACCCCGGATTAATAAAGAGACTAAGCCGACAGGAAAATGAATGAATGAATCAGCAGCAGTGTAGGCATCTGTATAATTCTGTTCTTTTGTATTTCTGTAGGCTGACTGTGGAAAGGGAATGATCAGAATGAAGCATTGTGTTCCTCATCAGTTCCAGAATCTAGTATTTGCATCTTTTCCATGCAGTCAAATATATATATAGAAACGCTGCTGTCCAAAACCAAAGCAAAGGACAAACAAGCTGCAGGCTAAACTTACTAATGCACATGTATGCTAACATATCTACAAATGTAATTATTACGAATAAGATGTGGGTGACACGATGGTTCAGTGCTTAGCACTGTCGCCTCACAGCAAGAAGGTCGCTGGTTTGAGTCCCGGCTGGGTCAGTTGGCAAACACATGCGCTATAGGTGAATTGAATAAACTAAATTATCTGTAGTGTATGTGTGTGAATGAGTGTGTATGGGTGTTTCCCAGTACTGGGTTGCAGCTGGAAGGGCATCGGCTGCATAAAACATATGCTGGATAGATTGGTGGTTCATTCCGCTGTGGCGACCCCTGATTAATAAAGGGACTAAGGAAAATGAATGAATGTATGAGGTGTTTTTACATGACTGAGTGCGGGTGATTGTGAGCAAACTGAGGGAGTAATGGTGGATTAACATGGCTCATTTTTGTTGTAGATCAGTAACACAACCTTTATTAAACTTTAATGTAGATGCTGCAGAAGGCCAGTAAGAACTTTACCTACTATTTCCTTGTTTAGTAGCAGGAAATGAGCATGCAAATGCTGTTTAGGTGGAATTCTCATAGTGTTTTTCAACTGAACTGACATTGCATTGCTTGTATTCAAAGCAGGAAGCTTATATCCTGATAATCAAGTATAGGCTACTTTTTAATTTGGAGAGTAGGATTTACATGCATTTATTATCAGATAAAAAGAAAATCTGAAATCTGCTCTCCGTTAAACAGAGATTGAGAAAAAAATTAACAAGGGGCTTAATAATTCAGACTTCAACTGTATATATATATATAGGAGGGTCTCGTCGTCCTTTTTTTGTCCTCTGCTGATCACAGTTTCCATGTGTTCATGCACATCATTGGACATCTTAATAGAAAGCTGTACCGCATGTGTTTGGACTGTGGGGAAACCGGATCACCCTGAGAAAACCCACATGAATGCAAGGAGAACATGCAAACTCCACACAGAAACACCAAGCCTCGAACCAGCAACCTTCTTGCTGTGAGGCGACAGCACTACCTACTGCGCCACTGCGTTGCCTAATAGGAAGTTTAAAACACTTAAAATATTGATCATTTATTTATTTATTTAATACAAGAATAATAACATCACTGCATTGAAGACAAAAATCAATACCAAAAAAATAAGAAGAGAATTTTTTTTTACAAAGCCTCAATCATTAAGAAAAACGATTATAATGAGCTTTAAGAAACGTATTCTTCTTATATTATTAATAAGCTTAAGAGATTCAATATTGATGAAATTTCAAGTAGGAAAGTATTAAATATAGGTTTTGTTTTTAGAAACTTATTTTTGTGCATAAGAAATTTATAGTGTCACACAAAACAATTAACAATAATCGAGAGCATGATCATTACCCGAGAAATACAGAAGTATTTTATAGAAAGAGTTAGGTCACACAAAAGTTATTCCAAAGATCATTTAAAATATTGATAACGAAATGTTATTAGTTGGATGATGACGCGTCGCGGTGACGCGATTCGTATTTAAATGCGGGCGGGAGAGTGATGTCATAACTCTGCGCCGTGCTCTTGGGTATGTTGTGATTCTGCAGGAGAAAGGTTTGTCTACTTTTATACGTTTTTTAAGCGTTTTAATTGTGTGAATTAATGAAAACCGTTTGATGGTTTATACAAGCGACACACATGTGGTTAATTATTACTTAAATAAACCCCGAAATGCTTTGCGAAACACTATTAAACGGACTGTATTGAGTAAAGCCCATCCACACACACACACACTGTAAAATAAAAGCTGCGCCTTATTTTCTTTGTCGTTAACTTATGAACAATATGAGTTCAGTTTCTAATAAACAATGATGGAGAAACGCTGACAAACGATACCTTTAATATTAAAGCTACATAAGACGTGTTTTACAGTGATGCGAAGGTCAGACGCAGCTGATGTAAACACAACAAACACACGTGTGTTATGACGACTTTTACTGAACTATATTAAACGTTTTGGTTAAATATGCAAATAAAAATAACTACAGTACTAATTATTAAATAAATGGACAAATGTAGTGCTACTTATGTGTGTTTCACTTACTTAAGACTATTAACTCCCACAAACTTATTACTTAAATATTCTTAATCGCTTTTTAACAAGGTCTAGTACACAGAGCAGGTTTAACAAACATAAAAATGCAGAACAAGAGCACAAACTGTGTGAGTGTTATGGACATTGAATGTACATCTCAATATTGTGTACCGGTTGGGGTGGGCAAACTTGGTCCCGGAGGGCCGGTGTCCTGCACAGTTTAGCTCCAACTCTAACCAAACACACCTGATTATAGATTACTAGTGATCTTGAAGACACTGATTAGTATGTTCAGGTGTGTTTGATTAGTGTTGAAGCTAAACTGTGCAGGACACCGGCCCTCCAGGACAGAGTTTGCCCAGCACTGGGTTTAGGGAAGGTGTAAAGGGAGGAGGAAATAAAACAATAAAGAGGAAAAAAACACAATAATAATGACAGAAAGCAAGGTTGTGGGTGGAAGAGTGTGTGGGTTTAGTACAGGGAGGTTGAAATATATTAAGACATTAAAGAAATGGGTTCCAGATGTTGGTGAAGATGGACATATTTATATCTGAGTGTATTTATTTTTTCTAATATAATATATTCTATAAGTAGATTGGTCCAGGGGTTAACTCTTTGACTGCCGCTCTACCAATTGGTTTTTACTTTTTTAAATAACGACTGATAAAGTCATTTAAAGAGGGGTTGTTTTAAATAATGGCTCTCACTCAGCATTGTTGGTTTGCAAAATAATCTAACAAAAATCCTTTTGCATTACTACAACTGGTTTTGGTTTATTGTAAAAAATAAAACAAGAAAGCGTGTTAAATGAGAATTAGGAAAAAAAAAAAAAAAAAATATATATATATATATATATATATATATATATATATATATATATATATATATATATAAAGGTAATTTAGTACTCAAAAATGTTTTATTTTGAATTTATTTTATTTTATTTTTTTATAAATTGGTTTTAAACTTCATATTTTCAGATTTTTCTATAAACCGACATATCTAACATTTGGTAGAAGCTGATATTTTAGAAATTATGGGATGTGTTAAAAAAATTCGTTAAATGCAATCTAAACATTTTTTTTCTTGGTGGGATATTTGGGCAATTTTTAGTTTAACAGTTTTAAATGGTTTTCTTGGCAGTGGCAATGGAAATTAAGAGTGTTTTTCTTTATATTTGGTATGAAGATTCAGTTTCTGTGGTGTTACCAAGTAGGCGAAGTGGAGACTACTGAACTATTGAGCTGATGGAGATTTAGTTTGTCTTCATTTTTTTGTTTTCTCTGTTAATGATTCTCTTCTTCATGTTGATAGTGTCTAAAAACACAAACTCCTGAAGCGACTGAGGTATAAAGATGGCGTTTATTAAAGTGGAGAGTGAAGATATGATGATTGAAGAAACATTCACAGTCAAACATGAAGAGACTGAAGAAGCTTTCAGAGTCAAACATGAAGATCCTGAGGAACAAACAGGTTGGTCATTTAATCTTTTATATATATATATATATATATATATATATATATAATTAAATTTTACAGCTCAACTAAAATGAATGATACATATGAAAACCGCGACTGACCTTTGAGTCTGCATGAAGTCAAAATTTACTCTTCTTATTTTCTACATGTATTAGTAGTGTGTTTGTTATAAGCCCACACTGAATCTGCGCACACAGAAATCTGTAGATTTTTACTTTTGATTTTTTTTTCTTGTATTTACTTGTTAATTTATATTTATTTAATTTTTGAATGAATTTCACTAACATAATTGTGATTATAATAACCGCAATATTTAAATATTCATATGCTTTATTTACAATACAGTTTGTAAAGTCATTTTCTGTCTTTTAGTAGTTATACTATATAGGAGACTTGCTTTGTTTTCCAATTAAGTGGGTCTAATTGGATTTGCATCGTAAATCGAGGTGTGAACCTACGCTGGTCTCACTGTTCAGTTGTGATTATCATGCCATCCATTCGGTGAGTCCAGCTGCGCTCTCATAGCAGGAAAATGGGGAAAAAAATTAATTACTGCACTTTTATAAACACAGCACTGATGACTCGTATCTCCAAACAATTCTTCTTCTCCCATTTGTTTTGGCAACACAACGTGTCGTCTCTCTGCCGTCTGAACACTGTTACAGGTTTTTGAAGCTATCATGCATATTAATGAAGTTCACCTCATACAAAATCGAGTGCGCTGATTGGTTTGAGTGAAGTCTTTCTTCTGAAATAATGCTGCAGACTCACAGACGTTACAAAGTACTCCCAGATACAGACAGCCAGTCTACATGCTAGAATACACGCAAGCATCTATTCGGCGTGACGCTGCTCCAAAAATTCTTTTCTAATCCGAAAGAACGAATTTGCTTGAAATAATGCCAAAACAACTAATTTTCACTTTTTTGTGTAATATACGTTTCCTAATAGTGTTAATAGCAGCATGGGACACTTGTATCACTGTCAACAGCTCAGAAAATGTGTTTTGGTTTTTTGTGACCCTTTAAAATGGGGCTTTGTTTTATTCTCCTGGCTTGTGAATGTGTTAATGACGTTTTTCTCTAAACCAATGGTGTTCAGCTGCGTGTCTAGCTCCGCATTTTTGGTACCCTTTTGTTGTGCTAGGTACCCTTTCAAATAGGTAGCCAAAAACTGGTACTGTACGGTTCGCTTTTAGGTACCTTTTGGCAGTGGAAACAGCCATGAAATCGTACCAAACCATGTCACTCATTGGAAATGGGCCATCATAAAGGAAAGGCATTTATCTTGGCTGATGTTGAAATGTTCTACTGCACAGTAGGCTTGGGCGGTAATATGGTATACCGCAGGATCTAAAAATAGCAACGGTGTCAGTTTCAATACCGTCATAAAAAACAATGCACCTGAATAGGCAGTGTGGAGGGCAGTGTGGAGGAGAGAGGTGAGGTAAGCTGGCGAGTCGCGCACCAAGTAATCTGCAGTATTTCCGGTTTCGATCGAACGAGAAGGGAGACGTGGTAAATACCAACTAGAGGTCTGCATTCACGCTGCTGTACCGCGGGAGCTGACCAGATTTCTTGCGGTGCGGGAATTAATTTCAGAGTAAAGCACGGTAGCGGTCGGTAACTCTGGTGTTATTTGAATCTGAACGAATGGGGCTAACAATATCGCTCCCGAGCGTGCGCGTGCGCATCCACGTGGATTGTGTGTGTGTGTGTGTGAATGAGTGCATGTTGCTGTGTGTCGCTTGGTGCTCTGTCTGACTGACTGACTGTGTGTGTGTGTGTGTGTGTGTGTGTGTGTGTGTGTGTGTGTGTGTGTGTGTGTGTGTGTGTGTGTGTGTGTGAATGAGAGAGTTTGGTGATGCTGTTTGAGCCTTACATCATACTTTCTTTTATTATGCACGGTAATACCGGATACTGAGGTAAAATAGGGAGGAGGTTTGACCGTATCAAAATATCAAAAGCCTACTGCTTATTACTGTTATTAAGACATTAATGAAAGATTCAAGACTGATGCATCAACCCAATGTTGGCTTGTTTCCTGCTTTGACTTGTTAAACGGCTGTTTAACTTTTTTTTTTTATTTGTTACTTGTTTTTTAGACCTGGTGGGACTCAAAGAAGAGGAAGAAGAATTGAATGACATGGAGGGGAAAGAGCAATGTGTGAAACATCAAGACTTTGTGAATGTAGAACAGTTTATTAAGATCGAACCGACTTCATCAGGAAAAACAGATCAGAAAAACAAACCTAATCAGCTGTTCATCTGCCAACAGTGTGGAAGAGCTTTCAGTCGGAAGTATAAACTGAAGAATCACATGACGATCCACACTGGAGAGAAGCCTTTCACCTGTGAGCAGTGTGGGAAGAGCTTCAATTACAAGGAAAACCTTAATTACCACATGAGAGTTCACACCGGAGAGAGGCCGTTCTCCTGTAAGGAGTGTGGAAAGAGTTTCGTTCACAAAGCAGCTCTTAAATACCACACCAGAGTTCACACCGGAGAGAAGCCCTTCACCTGTGAACTGTGTGGAAAGAGCTACGTTCACAAGGGAAACCTTAATTACCATAAGAGAGGTCATACTGGAGAGAGGCCGTTCACCTGCGAGCAGTGTGGAAAGAGTTTCGTTCAGAAACACAAGCTTAATAACCACATCTTAAGCCACACTGGAGAGAAACCCTTCAAATGCCTGCAGTGTGGAACCGGTTTCAGTTGCAAAGCAAACCTTCACACCCACATGAAAGTCCATTCTGGAGAGAAGCCGTTCACGTGCCAGCAGTGTGGGAAGAGTTACACCAAAAAAAGCAACCTTAAAAAGCACATGAACGTCCACACTGGGGAGAACCTGTTCAGATGCGAGCGGTGCGGGCAGAGCTTCAGATATAAACATTCATTGGATTCTCATATACAAAAGAGAGAGCTCAGCGGAGGGAACTGTCTTATTAAATACACTGCAGAAAAGCCTTACGCGTGCCAGCTGTGTGATAAGAGCTATAAAAACAAAACACACTTTGATTCCCACATGAAAATACACGCTGGAGAGAAACCGTTCCCCTGTGATCAGTGTGGAGGGAGCTTCAGCAATAAAGCAGCCCTTGGCTCACACATGAAGGTTCACATTGGTGAGTCCTCACACTCGGTAAATGCACAGAAATCTGTTGATCACTAATGACAAGTGATTCGATTGTGATTTGAGAAGGGATTCGATTGGTTGAGGGTTTTTATCCATGCATTGCATGCACACAGTCTATAATTAAACAATACAGTCAAACAACCATGAAATTCATTGGTCTTTATTATTGATGATTATTGATTCCGTCTTATAAGTAGGCCCACATGGAATCTGCGCGAGTAAATGTGTGTAATATCTAAATTCATTTTTTTAATTAATTACAGTAATATTATTGACTAATATGAAAATGTTCATCAGATTTATGTACAATGCAGTTTGTACACATTACAGAAAATATTACTGTATTTTCTGTCTTTTAGTAGAGATATTATATGAGACTTGCTTTGTTTACCAAATAAAGTGAATCTAATTGCATTTGCATTTTAAACATTAGATAAAAGTTAAAAAGGTATTACTTTTTATTTCATATATTTAGGTTTTAGTTATGATACTCCCAAAATAATTACGCAGAAATCCGCAGACTTTTACCCAAAATTCTCCGCAGAGATAGCAAAAAAAAAAAAAAAAAGGCAGCAGATTCCATCTGGGCCTGCTTATAAGTTGAAAATTCAATAGTAGAGTCTGGCTGTATGTTGTCATGATACTGCAGTTTCACTACTTTACTACGGTGACCGGGAACTGCAAAACTACATTACAAAGTGTGAAACAAAGACAAAAATACATATGAAAATCCATTTTACCAAGGACAAAACAAATTTACATTTTAGAGAAAAAATTTAGACGCAAAACACTTTTACCAGTCCCCAAACACATTTACAATGACAGATTCTTTCCGGAAAGGGAATGTACCACACACTGGGAAATATCAGCTCGTGTGTGTGACTTTGTAGACCGGAGGTGGGCAACCTATGACCATATGCAGCCCGCTGAACACTTTCATCCGGCACACGAGGGAGTTTTTAAAATGCAGTTTCTTGAGTAACGGTTTGGTTCAGAATTAATAAATTAGGCTAAATTGTCTGTGGTGAATGTTTGTTTGTGGATGTTTCCCAGAGATGGGTTGCTGCTGGAAGGACAGCCGCTGCGTAAAACATGTGCTGGATAAGTTGGAGGTTCATTCCGCTGTGGCGACCCCTGATTAATAAAGGGACTAAGCTGAAAAGAAAATGAATGATCTGAAACTTTTAATTACATTTTCTTTTCTTGTAAATAATAAAAGTTGCATCAATTTCTGGAGGGCCGCAGCTCTGTGCAGTCTTCCTCCACCCCTAATCAAACACAACTGATCCAACTAATGAGGTGTTCAAAAGAGTCAAGAACACCTTCGTTAGTTGGATCAGCTGTGTTTGATCAGGTTCAGAGCAGAGCTGCGGCCCGCCAGGAATTGAGTTTGACACTTGTGTTGTAATGCATTTATCTTAGATGTTGTCTTTAGCCATTAAAACATATTCTTTCCTTTTTTTAGTTCGAGTGACACAAAGAGAAGAGAATCCAGAATTGAGTGAAATACAAGAAAACGATGAGAGTGAGAATCATGATGATATTGAGGATGTGGACAACTCTATTAGGACTGAAACAACTTCATCTGATAAAACACTTGAGAAGGCTGAATCTAACCGTGACCTCACTTGCGAGCTGTGTGGAAGATCTTTCTCTCAAATATATAAACTTAAGAACCACATGATAATCCACACTGGAGAGAAGCCTTTCGCCTGTGAACGGTGTGGAAAGAGTTTCTTTTACAAAGGAAACCTCATTTCCCACATCAGAGTTCACACTGGAGAGAAGCCTTACACCTGCAAACAGTGCGGAAAGAGTTTCAATTATAAAGGAAACCTTAATTCCCACATCAGAATTCACACCGGGGAGAAGCCCTTCACCTGCACACAGTGTGGACGGGGTTTCAGCTTTCACGGAAACCTTAATTACCACATGAGAGTTCACACTGAAGAGAAGGCTTTCTCCTGTAAAGAGTGTGGAAAGAGTTTCAATTATAAAGCAAACCTTAATTCCCACATGAGAGTTCATAGTGAAAAGAAACCGTTCACCTGTGAAGTGTGTGAAAAGAGTTTCGCTAAGAAAAGCTACCTTAAAGCACACATTAAACTCCACTCGAGTGAATCCGTTCAAATGTGAGCAGTGTGGGCCGTTTCAAATGACAAGAAACTTTTTTTGTCACTCAGGAAAATATTAAAATGACTATAAATGGATCAAATCATGCTTTGATTCCCACTTGAGAATTTACACTGGAGAGAACCCCACTACACAAACACAGCTTTCCAATGTTCCAGTGTCTAAGACGGGTGTCCAAACTCAATCCTGGAGGGCCGGTGTCCTGCAGATTTCATCTCCAACTTGCCTTATCACATCGGCAAGGATGTTTCTAGAAAGCCTAGTAAGAGCTTGATTAGCTAGCCCAGGTGTGTCTGATTGGGGTTGGAACTAAACTTTGCAGGACACTGACCCTCCAGGACCGAGTTTAGACATGCCTGGTCTAAGACAAGGGTGTCCAAACTCTGTCCTGAAGAGTTTATCTCCAACTTGCTTCAGTACACCTGCCAGGAAGCTTCTTGCACCAATCTCGTTCCTGGAGGTCCGGTGCCCCGCTGGGTTTAGCTCCAACTTGCCTTAACACACATGCCTGGGTGTTTCAAGTATACCTAGTAAGAGCTTGAGTAGCTTGTTCAGGTGTGTTTGATTAGGGTTGGAGCTAAAATCTGCAGGACACCGGACCTCCAGCATTGAGTTAATAAAGGTCACTAAACACGTTTTTTTTTTTTTTTTTTACATCAGTTGTGTCTGAGATATGAGTCACTGTATGACTATTAAAGGTGTTTCAGTACAGTAGCCACTCAGCATAGTATGCAAAGTCATTGCAAGCAGCATAGGCTTTATAAGAATTACTTTGGAATGTAACAAATATGTCTTAAAATAAAAGTGTGCAAATGATATTTTCAAATATGATAATTATATAATAAATTATATTATTATTGTTAATGTAATTATGCGATTCAGCTTTTAAAAACATCTACTTTCGACGCGCCTCTATGACGTAATTGGCGTCGGCGAGAGGAGGAATGACGTCATAATAACGCGCCGCTCCTGTATATTTTGTTGTACGGCCGGTGAAAGGTTTGTGTTTTTAAGCCTTTAAAAGTGTTTAAACTTAATGACAAGGTTCTGGCGTTTTGTGGTTTAACGAGCGCTGCACAGTGGGTTAATTATTACCGAGAGAATTACGACAATACATTTATCTAACAGTAATAAACGCGAGTTCAATGAGTGAAGCTCATAACAGAAGCCGCGTCTGTTTCTCTTCATCAACAGCAGGAGTCCAGCCTGACAGTGAAGGAGACACTGATTATACAAACACTGATGAACTAAAACACCTTTAATAATCATACAGTGGATCATATCGCAGACACAACTGATGTACAAAAACGTTTGTAGTGACCTTTATTACACAGCAATAACACACGATTCAGTAAAAATGCAAATAAAACACAAATAAGGAAAAGCTAAACATAATAGAGAAAATGTGAAGCATGATTTCTCTAATTGTGAAACACAGCCAGACATTTAGTGTTTATTTTTCTCTATTAATGCAGTCTTCATCTTGATCTTGACAGAGTGTACAAACCCGCAGAAAGCAGAGTATTATGAAGATGGCGTTTATTAAAGAGGAGAGTGAAGATGTGGACATTGAAGAAGCTTTCAGAGTCAAGCATGAAGATCCTGAGGAACAGACAGGTTGGTTTTCATCCTCAAAGCTCCACTCAGTCATTTGCTGGGAATATAACTTTTAACAAGTCTTCACATTGTTTTATATACGTTACTCAGCAACGTGGACACCTCCAAATGGTGTTAAAAGTGTCACTTACTGTATTTATAAGGTATAATTCACCCAAAAATGTCATTTCTGTCTTGATGTAATGATGTATTCGCAGCTGCGAAATCACACGTGATGGGAGCTGCATGAACTGTTACAACAGAGAGGGTGGGTGCGCGCGCCTGTGAATGAAGTCTACTTTGGTCCCACTTTATATTAAGTGTCCTTAACTACTATGTACTTGCATCAAAAAAATAAATACAATGTACTTACTGTGTTTATAATGTATTTGAGAACACTTGTGGTGCTTTTGAGTTGGGATAGAGGTTGGGTTATGAACAGGTTTGGTGGTATGGGTTTAAGGGTGGGTTAAGGTGTAAGGGATGGTCAACAGTGTATTTACAAATGTAATTACAAAAGTTAATTACAGATGTAAGTAAATACATGTATTTAATCCAACATAAGTACACAGTAAATACATGTATTTACACAATAAGTACATTGTAACAAACTATTAACTCCTGTGTAAGTACATATTAGTTAAGGCCACTTAATATAAAGTGGGACCAGTGAACAGAACCTGCAAAGGCTGTGAATAACAGCAAATCTAGGGCCAGATGGAATCTGCTGTTTTTTGCTATTTCTGCGGAGAATTTTGGTAATAATCTGCAGATTTCTGCTGAATATTTTGGGAGTATCATAACTAAAACCTTAATATGTGAAATAAAAAATAATATATTTTAAACTTTTATTTACTGTTTAAAATGCAAATCCAATTAGATTCACTTTATTAGGTAAACAAAGCAAGTCTCTCGTATAATACATCTACAAAAAGACAAAAATATTACTGTACAAACTGCATTGTACATAAATCAGATGAACATTTTCACATTAGTCATTAATATTACTGTAATTAATTAAAAAACTGAATTAATATAGATATTACACACATTTACTCAAGTAAATAAACAGAATTAATGATGGGCGGAAAATCTGCAGAATTCTGCGCGCGCAGATTCCGTGTGGGCTTACTGATGTCTCAAGCAATAGTTCAACATCAGAATTATGAATAGTTGTATTCTGATGTCGTCACTTTACTGTACATTAATAAACAGGACACATTTAAAGTCTGTTCTAGTCCACATTTTAAAGTCCTTACAAAAATGAGCATTTTAACCAACAGTATCATGTTTGAGAAATAATAACAGTATCAGCATACTCATGTTAACCTTTGTCTTAGATCTACAGAATCGTGAGAAAATCGTGATCTTAATTTTCTGCCAAAAACATCATGACTTGTGCAGCTCTTAACACATGCTCTTCTGGCTAGATAGAGCAAAACTCTGCAGAGCAGCAGTCCTCCTGGAATTTAGTGGAGGTCTGATTTAAAATGTACACTTGAAAGGTTTAAACCAGGGGTGTCAAACTCAATTCCTGGAGGGCCGAAGCCCTGCACATTTTACTTCCAACCCTGCTCCAACACCCCTACCTGCAGGTTTCAAACAAGCCTGAAGGACTCAATTAGTTTGATCAGGTGTGTTTAATTAGGGTTGGAACTAAACTGTGCAGAGATGCGGCCCTCCAGGAACTGAGTTTGACACCTGTGGTTCAAACTGCTGACTTCTGTTTGTCTTCTTTTACTTTAGGTGTGATGGCAATCAAAGAGGAGAATGAAGAGTTGAATGTAATGATGGAGAAAGATCAGCTTGAGAAACATGACTTTGTGTCACTTGGAAACTCCATCAAGACTGAAACCTCCTCATCTGTGGAAACACTTGAGGAGACCGAATCTAAGGGGCAGTTCACATGCCTGCAATGTGGAAAAAGATTCGGTCAACATTGTAAGCTCACTTACCACATGAAGATTCACTCCGGAGAGAAGCCGTACACCTGTGAGCAGTGCGCAAAGACTTTCAAGTACAAAGGAAACCTTAAATTCCACATGAAAGTCCACACCGGAGAGAAGCCTTTCAAATGTGAGAAGTGTGGAAAGCGGTTCGTTCACAAAGGAAACCTGGAGTACCACATGATCGTTCACACTGGAGAGAGGCCTTTCCCCTGCAGCGTGTGTGGAAAGAGGTTTGTTCACAGAGGAAACCTTAATCACCACATCAGAGTTCACACCGGAGAGAGGCCTTTTACCTGCACACACTGCGGGAAGAGCTTCGCTCAGAACGCCACTCTTAAGACTCACACACTGGTTCACACCGGAGAGAAGCCTTTCACATGTCTTCAGTGTCAGAGCAGTTTCACGTACAGAAGAGACCTGAAGTATCACATGCAGAAGTGCTGCGCTAAGACATTGCAGTGCATTAAGAGCGAGGACAGCCTTGAAAACGGCAGCACTCATCAACACTTCAACTCTGGATGAAGTTAATTTGTAATTAGCGTATTGACGATGTGTAGCTTGCACACTGTAGATACAAAGTGATGCAGATGTGAACCCAAACTCTTATTCTTTATGTGGTGGTGTCTCTCCTGATGGTAGTTTGTCTAGGGGTGTCCATACTCAGTCCTGGAGGGCCGGTGTCCTGGATATTTTAGTTCCAACCCCAATTAAACACACCTGAACCAGCTAATCTAGCTCTTTCTTGGTATACTAGACCAGGGGTGTCCAGACTCGGTCCTGGAGGGCCGGTGTCCTGCAAAGTTTAGTTCCAACCCCAATCGGACACACCTGGGATAGCTAATCAAGGTCTCACCAGGCTTTCTAGAAACATCCTTGCAGCTGTATTGAGGGAAGTTGGAGCAAAAATCTGCAGGACACCGGCCCTCCAGGACAGAGTTTGGACACTCCCTTTCCAGCGAGGTGTGTTAAAGGAAGTTGGAGCTAAACTATGCAGGACACCAGCCCTCCAGGATCGAGTTTGGACACCCCTGGTCTAGGCATTTTTAAAGAGGTGACATTTAATTTACTTTTTTCATTCATTTTCTTTCGGGTTAGTCTCTTTATTTATCAGGGGTCGCCACAGTGTAATGAACCGCCAACTATTCCGGCATGTTTTACACAACCACAACCCAGTACTGGGAAACACCCATACACACTCGATCACACACTCATACACTACGGCCAGTTTAGTTCATCAATTCCCCTACAGCACATGTGTTTGAACTGGAGGAAACCAGAACACGCCAACACGGGGAGAACATGCAAACTCCACACAGAAACACCAGCTGACCCAGCCGGGACTCGAACCAGCAACCTTCTTGCTGTCAGCATTAAATGATAAGTCAGTGAAATAGAGTTGAAGTACTTTATTTGGGTTGCTAATGTTTGCTTGCAATTTCTGTGGGGAACACATTGCAGGTAATTGCTGTGTCCAGTTGCAGAAGTGTTGATGGTAAGTCACTGTCTTCATGCAATTGCAACAATTTGTCAAGCACTTTTTGTTTTATTTGGAGTTTACTGACCCAAGTGGACCATTCTGTCCGTCTTAATGTCCTTAGTCTGAAGCCCATCATTAATTTCAGCTCAGTAGCCTCCCGTGTCGCTGTTTTTGACTGCTTCTCTACAGCAGGGGTGTCCAAACTCAGTCCTGGAGAGCCAGTGTCCTGCATGGCTCCAACTTTCTTCAACACACCTGCCTGAAAGTTTCTTGTATACTTAAGCTGCGGTCACTAGAGTTTGTGCATGCAAAATTCTGTCGTACAGTGCTGCGAAAAGAAGGAGGATTAAACAAGATGATTAGACATTTAAAAAAGTGAGCGATTGCTCCATATTTTACATTTCTGTACAAAGAGGTCATGTTTTGATCCTTGATTGATCTCACGCAGTCAAGTGATGCGGTTTTACAGGTCAGAGTTCACCAAGCTTGAACTTTGCAATGCAGGGGAACTTGTCGCGAAAGCTTGCGTTTCCGTTCTGACGCATTCGCGTGGGTATGGGGAGATAAGTGCAGTGTGACCGCAGCTTTAGAAAGAGCTTGATTAGTTGGTTCAGGTGTGTTTAATTGCGGTTGATACTAAAATATACAGGACAGTGCTTCCCACACATAGACTTTACTTGGGCAGGTGTATTTTGTGACACATTATTTTACTATTATTTACATCCCTTTACACCTTTTGAATCTGCTCAATAAAACCAAACATCCGCAATCAAGTAGTGGGAAATCTTCTCTTGTTTACCAGTTTCATTCTGTGCCCGTGAGACTTGTCAACACTCGTGCAAACCCACAGAGATGCACATTTTTGGGACTTAAAATTAGTTCGGCCCAGATTTCTAAATCTCCCAAAATGTCCAGGATTCAGATTTTGCTTTCACTTTGTAAAACTTGTATGTGTTTTTTGCATTACTCTTGAATTAGAGGCTACGTTCCGCCTGGTTTCCCAGCTGACAGTGCACACAGCTGATACCGAGAGAAAAAGTAAGTAATTGATTTATTAATGTAAACAACTCCAAAACACTTTACTATATACTCTGAGGGGATGAGATGACATCTAAACTGGCTGCTAAATATATGTACACCATTAGTAATGGTTAATCAACGCATTTGCCTCCATTAAAAATAAAATAAACTTGTTTTAATCTTGCAATTATGATAATTTTTGAGACAATGTTTTATACTTCTGTCACTTATTTCTCGTTTGCTGATTATTTTATTACTTTGATGATGCTAATATATTACATTGGATATTTTATATATTTATTTAAAATGCTTTTGGCTTTCAAATTTGCTTTGAACTTGAAAGAGAGAGAGAAGCAGATTGGCAGATACCTGTCAGTGGGTGCACATGGCTCATTTTTTATTTTCAATAGTAGTTTTGTTTTACTTTAACCCATTTAAAAGAAACTGTGAAAAACAGTGTCATAATAAATACAATTATTATTAAAAGTTAAATTATATTTGTTTGTCGCATATAGTTAAATACTTATGTGATGTGGATATATGGTGTAATTTAATTTCACACCTGTGGGAACCAC